TTAGCTCCCAGGAGGTGATACTGCTGTCACTGCTCAGCTAAAATCCCAGCCCCAGGAAGAAGAACTCCATTTAAGCAGTTCTGGTCATCCATCGTCCTCCACTCGAGGGGCTCAGCTTGACTCAGCTTGACTGCCCGTAGCCAGGCAAGCACAGTACTGTGTGTTTTATTCAGCATTATTATGCAAAACCCCACTGGTTAGGATGGTTTGTTTTAGGATAGGAAGTGAAATTGCCTCTCAGTGACAGGAATGACCCAAGCCTGCTTCCTATTTCGATTTTCTTTTTTTTTAAACTGATGGATGGTGCAGCATGTCTACATGGTTGTTTGTTGCTAAACTTTATATAATGTGTGGTTTTGATTCAGCTTGAAAAATAATCTCACTACATGTAGCAGTACATTTTATGTACATTATATGTAATGTTAGTGTTTCTGCTTTGAATTCTTGATATTGCAATGGAATTCCAACTTTATTAAATGTATTTGATATGCTAGTTATTGTGTGCGATTTAAACTTTTTTGCTTTCTCCCTTTTCTGGTTGTGCGCTTCTTTTACAACAAGCCTCTAGAAACAGTTTCTGAGAATTACTGAACTCTGTAATGCAGATGTACTTAGGGAGTATGTAAAATAATCATTTTAACAAAAGAAATAGATATTTAAAATTTAATACTAACTACGGGAAAAGGGTCCATTGTGTAAAACATAGTTTATCTTTGGATTCAATGTTTGTCTTTGGTTTTACAAAGTAGCTTGTATTTTCAGTATTTTCTACATAATATGGTAAAATGTAGAGCAATTGCAATGCATCAATAAAAATGGGTAAATTTTCTGATTCATGTGTCTGTGTTTGACTTCTTTTATAGGGGGACGAAGGGAGTGGCTAAACACATTGCATCTGAACATCAGTCGTGTTAGAGACAAATTCTTTCTTCATACAAATCTCCACAGCAGAACAGGAGTGAGTAGGGAACACTTCCCAAGAATGGAGTGTCAGGGCCCTAACCGATCTGGCCCTGTGAAAGAGGCAGAAACTTCGGACACAAGCTAATTAAAATCTGCTTCCTAACGTGTTCCACCAGATATCTCAATAGCAGAATGAGAATAAGAACAACCACAAGGAGATGCTGTTTTCCCTTCCTTTCAAACTGCACTGTTAGAAGCATATTTGTTTTAAGAGAAGATTTTTGATCAGATTTCTCTTGATGAAAGTGAGTAAAATTTCTCCTGATGAAGAATTAGAGATTTGTCTACATTCGTCACTGCACGTCTCTGAATAATCACTATGTTCATTTGACTTCTTTTGATGCATGTGTTTCAGGACAGGTGTACCTTACAGGGGTCATTGTTCATTTTGGGCTCCTGCAGTCATCACTGGGATATAGCAATGAGAAACATTTAGAAACACCCTTTTGGACCATAACCAAGAGAAATTATCACTAGCCCCTTCTCCCCAGACAGTAGGGAGGTCAGAGTACATTTATTTTGGTTTAGACTGCAACATACATTTCAAGATTTTTTTTCTTTAGATGAATGTAAAATCAGTGTGAGCTCAGTGACTACTTCCCAGTTTTGGTAAGAATATACCTAGAAGCTTTGGGGCAAAGGAAGACTATATATAAAAAGGCTCTGTTGTCAGTCTTGCTTCCAGATAATCAAGAATTAATTTACTAGTTTCTCAATCACGTGTTTTGGGGTTTTTTGTTTGTTTGTTTTCTGATAGTTTAATCTCAGCTACATTCTCTTTCTTAGGCTAAATCACAGAGAGATTGGGATAGCCCCATAAATAATCGGATAGTCCATGGGGAAAGCTACATTGTAATCACAAAAACCCCTGTAAATTCTATCTGCTTGGCTTGCTTTGTGGAAAATTTTCCACAGGAGGTGAAGTCTAAGCCTTGGTTTCCCTGTAAATCCTGAGGTGATACCAGGTGCTTGGCACAAGATGGCACCAATGAGCTGTAGAAGAAGGTGGTACAGCCTTGCCCACTGTGGCCCTTTTACCCACCTCTTCCCCTCAAACCTCATCCCCTCTGTTTCCAGCCACCACTAAAGGCAGAAACCAATCCATGCTGTTATTTTTGGGAGAGGGAAGGATTCATGAAGCCTGTTTCTTAAGTCAGCACTGGAAGCATTCTAAAACAGGAATAGAGTTTGCTGCGTCTTCTCTGGGGCCTCTGCCTCCCCCTGCTAACTCCTTTTCCTGGGTGACTGCCCAGAAGGCCTTTGCCCCAGGGTTCCCAGTCTCCTACCCCTCTCCTGAGGGGCCTGCAGCCTAGGCAGGAGGTGGTTAAGCTTCTGGCTGCTCTGCAATAGGGCCATCTGTGTTTGATCAATCCGAGCGGAAAGGAGGGGGTGGGGGCTGTAAAGACTGTGAGAGCATTCCAGAGTAGTGAGAGAGACCCGGAGATCCAGAAAGAGAAAAGGCACCGCCCCCACCCCGCCTCCAAAGCTAGCCCGCCGGCTTGAGTGGAAGAGGCCGTCTGCACACGACTACACACTCGGTCTCCCCTGGCCCCACTCTCCGGCTGCCATGGGGCCCCGCACTCCTCTCCTCATCTTGTTCCTTTTGTCATGGTCGGGACCCCTTCAAGGACAGCAGCACCACCTGGTGGAGTACATGGAGCGCCGACTAGCTGCCTTGGAGGTAAGTGACTCCTTTTCTGGCCCAGCCTGGAAGGATTCCACATCTGTTGATTTATCCAGTTTGTCAGTGGGTGAATGCCAAGTTAGGGCTCTGTAAAGACCTACAGAAAACTTCATCTTTTAATAAGAGGATCCTCAAAGTTGCAAGCCCTCCTCTTTTCCCCACACACAAAGAGCAATTCCAGAACAGATAGACCCTTTTGCATTTTACCTCCAGGATTAGATGGGCTGAGGGAACAGAGTGGCCATGAGAGCTGGAATTGTGGGGCTGCATCTCAGGATGAGCTAATGATTCTGCTAAAGTTGGAAATTCTCAGAATATCTGCAACTCTCTGCCTTTTTAAGTTTGAAGTCTGTAGCATCTTAATTCCCAAGAGGAAGACTGTATAACGGAGCAGAGACCCTTTCTCACCCTCCTGCACATGGACGGCCCTAGAAGCCCAGATGACTCAGTGGCATTGCTCACAGAGACAGTCTGCAGGACTCCAAGTCGGGATGGAGGCCTAGGTGAATCTTAGCCAGGCTCTTTGCACATTTAGCACCTCTGAACATTTGGTTTCCTTTCCGTGGGGCTGAAGGGGATGTTGATGCCTGGCTGAGTTTGTGCTTTTTGCCATTCCTGACTCCCTGGTTGGGCCTCTCCCTGGCCGGGAGTTGTAACCCTCCAGCCCTCCCTCCTGCCGCCCCATCCCTTCAGGAACGGCTGGCCCAGTGCCAGGACCAGAGTAGTCGGCACGCTGCTGAGCTGCGGGACTTCAAGAACAAGATGCTGCCGCTGCTGGAGGTGGCCGAGAAGGAGCGGGAGGCGCTCAGAACTGAGGCAGACACCATCTCGGGGAGAGTGGACCGTCTGGAGCGGGAAGTGGACTATCTGGAGACCCAGAACCCAGCCCTCCCCTGTGTAGAGGTTGACGAGAAGGTGACCGGAGGTCATGGGACCAAAGGCAAGGGCAGAAGGAATGAGAAGTATGATATGGTGACAGGTAAGCAATCTGAACCGACCCCTGACACTCTCAGTACCTGTATTCTTCCTTGGTTCTTTCTTTTTTTCTCCCTATCCCAGTCCATTTGGCTCTGCCTTCTGGAATCTGTCTTAGGGAAATCTCTATAATAACAGTTTGTTAAGGAGAGTTTCTGAGGACCCACATACCTTTTCTCTAATCCCGGTAAGAATAGAGGCAGCCACTGGGCAAATGCTGGCTCTTCTCCAAATGGCGCCCCCTGGGGAGTTCCTGCACTGAGCATCTAACTCTTGCCTGTGTTTCCTTGTCTTGTGCTCTTCTCCTTTCCCACCAGACTGTGGCTACACCATCTCCCAGGTGAGATCAATGAAGATCCTGAAGCGTTTCGGGGGGCCTGTGGGCCTGTGGACAAAGGACCCATTGGGACCTGCAGAGAAGATCTATGTGTTAGATGGGACCCAGAACGACACAGCCTTTGTCTTCCCAAGGCTGCGTGACTTCACCCTGGCCATGGCTGCCCGGAAAGCTTCCCGAGTCCGGGTGCCCTTCCCCTGGGTAGGCACGGGCCAGCTGGTATATGGCGGCTTTCTGTATTATGCCCGGAGGCCTCCTGGAAGACCTGGAGGGGGCGATGAGTTGGAGAACACTTTGCAGCTCATCAAATTCCACCTGGCCAACCGCACGGTGGTGGACAGTTCCGTATTCCCCGCAGAGGGTTTGATCCCCCCGTACGGGCTGACGGCAGACACGTACATAGACCTGGCGGCTGACGAGGAGGGCCTTTGGGCTGTCTATGCCACTCGGGAGGATGACAGGCACTTGTGTCTGGCCAAGTTAGACCCACAGACACTGGACACAGAGCAGCAGTGGGATACACCGTGTCCCAGAGAGAATGCTGAGGCTGCCTTTGTCATCTGTGGGACCCTATATGTCGTCTATAACACTCGCCCCGCCAGTCGGGCCCGCATCCAGTGCTCCTTTGATGCCAGTGGCACCCTGACCCCCGAGAGGGCAGCACTCCCTTATTTCCCCCGCCGATATGGTGCCCATGCCAGCCTCCGCTATAACCCCCGAGAGCGCCAGCTCTATGCCTGGGATGATGGCTACCAGATTGTCTATAAGCTGGAGATGAGGAAGAAGGAGGAAGAAGTTTGAGGGAGGGAGCTAGTTCAGTCTCTTTCACCTCCATACAGTTATATCCCTACTAAATTTCCCGCTCCTCAGTCTCCGAATGTGGGCAAGTTGTGATTCAAATCTCACATTTTTAGCCAATTGAAGCCAAATTTTCATTGCCCCTTCTTTTCATATGGGACTCCAGAGCTTGAAGAATCCTTTTAGACCTAAGAGAAAGCCCTAAAGGTTCACTTGTTCCCTCCCGCTCCCACGTCAAGGAATGTCAGGCCAGTCGGAGACCACCCAGACGCAGAGCTCTGACCCTCGTGTGGGGGCAACCCCACGGAAGAGGCAGCAGAGTATTTCTTGCCTCAGTGCAAGTCAGGGGAGAGAGGGCTAGGAGGAGACTTTCAACTCTGCCCTCCTCCTCTTCCCCCTCCAGTACCCTAAAGAATGGGACTCATTTTGTATTGCAGTCTTTTGCATTAAAAGGAAAATCCACTTTTCCTGGCCTGTGTTTGTTTGGGGTAGCCCTCCGATCGGGTTTCCTCCCATGATCCTCCATTTTCTTCTCTGCCCCATCCGCACTCCTTCAGCCACATTAGGGACTTGGCTGGGCTCCCTTGCTGAGGGAAAGGGGACTTCTCTAGGTACAGATTTGACTGGGAGGCACCTGGAGAAGCGGCAGAATCCCGCCACTTCAGGAGGCTGGGTGAAAAAGGCCTCCGTCCACACTCACCTTCGTCCACGGCAGCCCTCCCAGAACCACCAGTGGCACAGTGCCTCTGGCCACAAGACGGGAGCCCAGGGGCAGAGCTTCTAATTCCAATTCTCTGAGGTTTTGAACCAGAAAATGGATTTTAGTCACATTTAGTCTAATGTGGAAACCAGAGCCCTGAAGGCATGTGTGTTCAGTAAGAACAAAGTCTCACCTCTGGGACTCTGCCGCCAATGCTGAACCCCGCTTCTGTCTCCAGCACCCGGCTGTCTCCAGTGCCAGGTTGCACAATAATGCTTGGTCAGAACCACTCTGATTTTCCTCCTGCCACGGCGCCTGCAGTTGGGGCCAGGAGGAGGGGCAGTGACCACGGCCCAGATGTTATTCTTACCAGTTTCCCAGCACATCCCTCTCTCCACCCTCCTCACCCCCACCTACCAACCCCAGTCCTGGAACCTGGCCCAAGTCTGTCCGGGAGGCCTGGAAACTTAACCCTTTCCTGCCTAGTTCTTTGGTCTCTGGTCTGGAATTGCAGAAGGCCACCCGGAGAAGGGAAAAGGGACAGGAGGAAGTGACCTGGGTTTTAGACTCCAGTCTCTAGGAATCTGCAGAGATCTGTACTGGACCCACTCCAGCCTCTTCTTCCTTGTGTCCAGCACTCAGGAGCAAGGCCATCTGATGGACGAGATCCACTGCTTTGACAGTGAAGTTGACCTCAGGCAGCCCTGGGAGTCCTCTTGGTTATTTACCCCACGGTGGGGAGGGAGTGTAACGAGCAGGACCCTATGGTCCTTCCTGGGACCGACTCCTCCCCCATACCCTCTCTGAAGGACCTAGGTAATGGTATACGGCGCACATGTCCTGAGTTGTTTTACAGATGCTAGAATCCTTACCCAATGGAAGATGTTAGTTACTTGATCACGAGCCCCCAGACCTATGGGCACCTAAGATTGATCATATTAACCCCTGTGACACGCCCTGTTACCTCAACAACAACCAATCAGATAATTGTGCACAGCTGACCACAGGCCCGGGGCTCCCCTCTCTCACCTGGCTTTTGAAAATACTCAGCTGAAACCCTTCAGGGAGTTCAGGGTATTTGAAACAGGACCACCCGTCCTCCTTGCTCGGCCCTGCACTCAACCTTCCTATGCTCCAAACTCTGATGTGTCGGTTTGTTTGGCCTCACTGTGTGTTGGGTGCATGAACTTGCGTCTGGTAACAAAAGGCCCAGGTCTCCTCTCCCAAGTCCGTCCCTGTCCTGTCCCTGCTCCCTAGAAGAGGGGATCTGTCAGGGCCTGTGATCCTCCCTTTGTCATCTCTTGTCTCCCCCGGCAGAGCTGCTCCTGACGTAGGTTGGTGAGGAAGGGGAACGAAAGGCAGTGAAGCACCTCACAAAGGCCCTATTGTAGGGAGCGGGGCGGGTGGGAGCTCGCTTCCATTCAGTTCTCTCTAATGTGGGGCTGGCAGCAGTAATCACCGCCTGTCAGCCCACGGAGGGGTCTGCCCACGGAACATCTGGTTCCCGCAGCTCACGGCGCACAAGGAGGGTGTGGAGGAGGGGGGGAGTTCTCAGCGGAGGCCTGGAGAAAGGGGTCCAGGCCCAGGAGGGCGCGTGTGCGCACGTGCGTGTGCACGTGGTGGGGCGCTCGTCTCCTTCCTAGTGTGACGCTGCGTGTCACTGTCCGATCTTGAGCTGCTAGAGGGTGGGGCCGTGTCTGTAGAGTATCCTGACACTGCACCAAACAGCAGAAGCGGCTTTTTGACAACCCTGAGGAGGGAGTAGCTCAGAGAGGCCCCGTGTAAGTGGCATCATCATGAGGAGCGAGTACTGACACCGGGTCCCTGCACCCCACACCGTGTGTGCCTGTCTTTGTGGCATCTTTCTTTGCCTGGCTGCTCAATGAGAGGGGGGGAAAAGCAGCTTGTGTGTGTGTGCGCACCTGCCTCAAATTTCTTTGGAAAAGTTCACTCAGACTTTTCTGAAAGGGCAGAAATCTCTGGGGCCTTGTCACTTATTACTTCTTGTTTTTTCTCTTTCTGGCTCCTGGACAACAGCTAGAACTATCTTGGAAGCATTTCACAAGGTGAGTGGAATTGTGTGGGTAGATCCAGCCAAGTGTCCAGATTCATTAAACGAAACTCTCTGTTGCTCAAGGAGAGAGCCTCGGGGGCTGTATCCTACCGTCAAAAAGCAGCCCCACTGCCCCTTCTCAGACCCTCCATAGCACATCACTTAGCAGAAATGGGTTATGAACTCTGGTTGGGGTTGAACAAGAGACAGTGGAGAGCAGAGGCCCTAATGGGGGAAAGAGAGGCTTAAAGTCCAAAGAGAATTTCCACGTCTGCTCCCAAGACTTGGCCCTACGACCATCAACAGCTGGGGATGGAGCTGCAGGAAGAGCCTCAGGAAGCAGGAGGGGGGACAGCTGTCTGCCAGACCCTTGGTCCAGATGTCACCTCTCCATCCCAAGGCAGGGTTGCAAGGGCTCCCTTTACCCCTACTCTGCCCTGAGAGTTTCCCACCCTAACCTCCAAGCTCTCTTCTTGGTTCTCAATATCTTCTCCTCCCTGCTGCTGGTCTTTGTGTCTGCCTGCCAGAGAAACCAACGCATTTGTCTTGTCATTTTCATCAGGGAACCTGAGCCAATGTTGCCTGAGCCCTGGGGAGGGAGGGAGAGGGCAGAGATGTAAGGAATGAAGTTGTTGATTCAGCTGTCATCGCTTCCTCTGGGATCAGGCTCTGAGCTAAACAGGAACCAGCTCCCTTTCTCTCTTCCACCTCCTCCAGGCTCAGAGTTTCTGGATCCCTTCTCAATCCCTCTCCTTGGATAGGCACCCCCTTCTCTGCGGCTCCTGGAGCATCTCTTCCACTGCTCCCCATTTTACTACCTGGTTTAAGTCAAAACATGCCCATTTTGAGAGTTGAGACTGTCTTGGTATTTCTCCCAGCCGGAGCCAGGTCTCTCTGGGACCTGGGGTCCAGCCTCTCTCTGGCTGCCTCGGCAGTGTTGTCTCAGCTCCGGGAGGGCTCTTCTGTTCCTTCAGCCAGAGAGCAGAGGCCGTGCTTCTGCCCTTTGCCCCTCTCAGCAGCTGCAGCCTCTCCTCTGCCGCTGCAGCCTGACGCTTCCTCCTTTGCCACCCCGGCCACCAGGACTGGTAAGCTCTCCTCTGCCTGTTCCTTAACTTCAGCTCGCACCGTGCAGAGCTTAAAAGATTAAATCTTTATTTATGGATTTAATAATTCCAGAGAAGAATTATAAATGTGGAAACCAATGTATTACTTTGAAGGGCAGAATGAGAAAGTAAAAACAAACATCTCTCAGCACCTTCTCTCCAGGACACAGGGGTTCTAACAATGTCTGGAGTCGGACATATCTCTGGGGTCTCTCCGGCCCCCCAAACTCCACCTTCTCTGAGAACAGACACCCTTACTTCCCATCCATAGCTGTGGACTCTCTCTCCTGGGGATTGAGACGTGTGGATCGGAGACGTTAGGTCTGAGAAAGTGTCTGGAAGCATCTTCTGAGAGACAGAGCCAAACTGCAGGGGAAAGGCCGAGGAGACACCAGGCAGAAGCAGAGACAGGAGTGCGAGGGCTGACGGGGCCAGTGCGCATGTCCCTCCTGTGGTCACAGTACGTTGCTAGTCCTTGGGTTCTACAAAATGCCTGAATCCTTAAAATAAATATTCCCTTTCCTCGTTTGCTTTTCTTTTTTTGCTCAAGTTTGTATGAGTGGCTTTCTGTTTCCTCCAAGTCAAATACAACTCATCTTTACCTTACCTTCCAACCAAAAATATCACCCCATCCCCTGGACTGTGGGGCACATGGCCTTGAGCTTTTAGAAGGTTCCTCCCTGCACACGACCCAGAGGACCCACCAGAATCAGGAAGAACCCGGGCAGGCCTGTCCTGAATCACTCTACCGTGGCTCCGCACGCCATCCTTCCTCCTCGCAGACGGCCTGCTCAGTGACCCTCTCCCGTTCTGGTCCCTCGTGGTGTGTGCTTTCTTCCTTCGCCATAGCTTGTAGCACAGTGTTCTCTGAGACAACGTGACACATTAGAGCAAAAACTTTATAGTCTGTCAAGCTTGGAATCGGAGCGGAGCTCTTGTGTCGGAGTCTGGCTCTGCTATTTACTGCTCTGATGCCTCAAGCAAGTTACTTGCTACATTAACTATAAGATAACAATAATACTATTTGCCCAATACGATTGTTGCTGCGAGGAGTAGAGACAATTTATGCCAACTCTTTCGCAGTGCAGGTGCAGACAATCAGAAGGTAGCTCGGGTAGGGGGAGGTATAGCTCAAGCGGTAGAATGCATGCTTAGCATACATGAGGTCCTGGGTTCAATCTCTGGTACCTCCTCTAAAAAAATAACCTAATTACCTCTCCCTGGCAAAAAAAGAAAAAAAAGTAAACTCTGAAACCCCACTTTCTTCTTTTGGAAGGCTTTTCTGACCTCTCCCACCCAGCAGGGCCAGGGGTCTTTCCTCTGGGCCCTGACATAGCCTGTGCAAATCCCAGTTGGAGCCGGTACCACAATGTGTTGTCTTGCTCGTCTTTGTGGTCCCAGGGCCTAACACAGAGCCTGGCTCAGAATGGGGCTCAGTTCATACTTGAGTTCGTGCTCCCCCATTAGACTGGGAACCCTTGGAATTCTGGGCGGATTTGTCTCCTAACTTAGGACCTAACTCAGGAGTGGCCTGTGGCCAGCAAGCTGGACATGTTCTTTGTGGCATTTTTCAGTTCAAATGGACAAAGATGAGCTACAGATAACAGAAAG